AATAAATAAATAAATGAATAAAATAAACAAATTAACAACAAGAAATAAACTAGCACTGTGTCCCGGGTTAGTGCCCTGCCAACAAATACCAAGCATCCGAATGTTTATTTTACCGTTTGGGTCATATGCAAATCATATCGCCACAGCATTAAATAAGGACAATTTTGATAAAATTACAAAATCAAGAATGGAATGTCTCAGCAAGTATTCGAAAAATGACCAAAGATATTGAAACAGTTTGTTCAATAAATTGAAGGAGCGAAGATCTGTTATTCTATTCTGAGCTTCTCACAAGATGCTCGACACTGAGCTTTTCTCGGAACCCAGATGAAGGAAGAAAGCACCATCGAACACGGTAACGTCATTTGGGTCAGCCGGTTACTTTCTTTGTCGCTTCAGAGGTTCACGAAATATTTCTCATTTCAAGCAAGTATTTCACCGTGGTCCCAGAGGTTTACTTCCCTCCTTCTTTACAGCGACTACACATTCACGGTTCTTGATGGATTATCATTGAGAATTTTGGAAGAAAGAACGGACAAGGAAAAACCTCTGGGGCTGGTTTTAAGTTCAGCTGCTTCGAAATATAGAGATTGGTACTGACCTTTCCGAGCTTACTCCTCAAATGCGCATCAAATGACATTTTTAACTTCAGCAAGCCGACTTAGAAGGCCTTGGTTAAGGACGATATACTCTACTGCAAACACCCATGGTAAATTACATTTAGCTTCGTCGACTGTCACATACCATTCTTCATGTATGTGACACCAATGCCACACATACATTCTCATCTGGCTCCCAGATCGCCCTGCATGTTGATGACGGTTATCGTTATTTTTAGTGTCATACGTCACGTAACGTCATGTCCTCAGGTCACATCAGTGCTATTCTTGATCATCTTTGATCTTTTTTCAGCAAATTGAAAACTCTTAAATAAGGCGATTACAAATTCTGCAACATATATTCGAGTGAGTTGCAGACTACCCCATTCTAGAAGAAAAAGAAAAAACAACAAGTTTTATAATAACCAAATTTTCGTGCCCATTTGAAATTGTATAAATCTACAGGCCTCAAATTAAATTCTGTTTATATTTCAGACCTTCAGATCGAAGGGTTGAAGTATAACTTAGGCTCAATTACGTTTGATACTGTTCATGTTGTCGTTCGAACTTCTTTCAACTTCTTTCTTCTACTTTCCCTGAACACGCACAGCGCAGTAGGCGTCTTTGATTTGTGACCCAGGCAAGAGTCTGGGGTCTGGGGACGAGTGGCTAAGATTCCTGTTTCGGTTTGTGTGCAGTCTTATTTTAACAATTACGCACCATCATGGACCTTCTTAATCTCTCATTTTAATCACAGATAGTCACGTTACTTAAAGAGCGTCACTGTTGATGTGAACTTAACATATTTTCGAGACATGGCGGCTGCAAGTTCTTCGTCCTGTGAACGGCAACCTGTACAGACAGCAGTAGATGAAGACAAGGTCAGTGACTTGTAAAGCTTGTAACACTCTGGTACAATCGGCAGCCATAACAGATCATAAGAGTTCTTTGGAACGATTATACATTCAAGTATGGTAAAATGTGATCATAAATGTGGTTTGTGGATCGTATTCAGGTAGTTTACATTCAGGATGGTGTGTTTGTTCACACTGCTGTGTCCATCGCCACACAAAGTGCAAACATCATCCCTGGAAGAGTCACGATTATCGAAAAGGTAAGTCTTAAATAAGGAATTTTCTGAAAAAATACGCAGATCGGTTAATGGCACTGTTTTAATTGAAAAAAATATACCAAAGGGTCCACATTGAGGGAAACTGCATCCATCTTTGTAATGTGGTGGGGAACCTGAGTGTGTCACAGCCATCTTGCATGTGTCAAGAAAAAGTAGGCCCTTTGCACGATCCGGTCACTTAATTATGCTGGGACACAAGTTACACAGTGGGACTTTCAAAACAAAGGAAAGTTGGTCTGGACTGGTATGAGTTCCTTTGTTTTGGAAGTCCCACTGTGTAACTTGCATCCCAGCATAATTAATTCTGTACCATGTGACCTGATTGTGCAAAGGGCCAATTTAATTGATGTACTTCATTACTGCGCTTTTCAATAACGTGCGGGCTCTAAAATTCAAAGCTCAACTGACAAATGTGTTTTTCGCTACCGTCAATGATATGTTTGGCAGCTCCTCCCAGCTTCCGACTACTGCCAAGCACTGTTTTGTTGTCTGCACTGTGCTCAACGATTTGATTACCATGTGCTCAGCAGTAGTCGGAAGCTGGGAGGAGCTACCGAACATTTGATCGATGGTAGTGGAAAAACGCATTCATCAGTTGAGCTTTGAATTTTAGAGTCCGCATGTTATTGAAAAGCGCAGTAATTGCCTTTATATGCATGGTGCTTTGTGGGTAGAGGCTATGTCATACCTGCCATCTCTCGTGCCTTAAGGCCTGGCTAAACTAGGAAACATTGCTACATAAACATTGTTGTGGAGGCAAATGTTTCCCAGTTTAGCTGTGTGGGAAACATACATGTATGTTGCAGAAACAAATTTTGCTGCTCAGAAACAAAACAATGTTTTTGCCTCAAGTCAAAAAACATTTTTGCTTCCCGGACACAAATTTTGCTTCTGAAACATATGTTTCCCAGTTTAGCCACCATAAAAACAATATTGACTAGGTTCCAGTGCTACTCGTTAAAAATGTTTCCCAGCAATGGCGAGCATATGTCAATGACTCATTGCGAGGTTAAAGTAGAAGAACCACAAGCATGTCACAGAAAAGGGAAGGGAAAGAAGGAAAAGAATTGGAAGAACGAGGAGAGGGAGTTACTTATTGCCTTGTATGAGGACAGAGCCTGTTTGTGGGATGTAGCTTGTGAAGACTGCACAGATGTCAGAGAAATATGATATCACAGTGGACTATTACAAAAGCAAATGGAAAATCCAGAGATCACAATTTATGAGGGAACAAGCCCTGGAACAAAAAGGAAGTCTCCCCAGACTTCTTTGAAAGTTGTTGTTGTTGTTTTTTTTATAACTCGCTGCATGACCCTTTGTTTTCTAAAACAATGTTTCCTCATTTAGCCACCAGGGCAGCAACAGCAACTAATTTAGCCACCCCAGAGACATAACAAGAAACAATGTTTCCGTAACAATGTTTCCTGGTTTAGCCAGGCCTTTAGGCCCTGTTAAAAGGCAGGTAGGGTAACCCAAGTGCTTGGGTTACCAAGCTTTAGTTACGAAATTCTGAACATTGTAACAGTGTGATTTAATATTGCCCAGTGGCTTTGGAAGTTTTGTTTGCTTTTGTGATAAATCATTTAAAAATGCTTGAGTGATACGTTAAAACAGTAAAAGTGATATTGAAAAGATTAAAAGTTGTAAATCAGCAAGATGAGTAATTGAGGATTCTTTATACCCATTTTCATTAATTCAGCAAAATGGCAGTTTTGTGGATTGGTCGCCTGTTGTTAATGAAGAAGAAGAATTTGAACTTGAGTCAAGTGACTATTCTGAGTGGGACCTTGTGACTCAAAGCAAAGAGCAAGGTACGTGTATTTTATTATGCATCTGGATTCCTTTCTAATTTTAATATTTTAATTACTACGATTATCAGTTGAGTAAGGCAGTAGGGAAGTTTGGTTACGAAGTTTTGGCCCTAAAATTATGGTGTTGTCAAGGGCAACTTACCTCGTTTCCATTGGTAACAATATCAACAGCTGTGCATCACCTGTCGCGTCGCCTACAATTTCGTGCGCTTTGCTGCCAATGATGTCAAAGGCCAACAAGTTGCCAATGGATACGGAGCCAGTTGCTCGTGACAACAACAAGATTTTTACGTTAAAACTTGGTGACCGAACTTTCGTCCCGCCTTACTCAACTGATAATCGTAGTATATAAACAGCAGTGTTATAACCAAAGGCATGCTACAGCATGAGCACTGTATTCATATCGATCTGCTATTGAATTACTATCAAGATGAATCAGATCATGCAGCTCCAGCACTAATGCCTCCTTTCAGAGAATTCTCCATCATATCTAATGAATAATAATGATACGTGAGGAGGATAATAATAATAATAATAATAATAATAATAATAATAATAAT